TCAATGTGCAATTGTTGAAATCAATGAATATACAAAGAGAGCAGCAGCATCTACATAAAGCTTGGAGAGGTCTCTGCTGACACTGATCAGTCAAGAACAGCAGACGTCAGATGCACAGGAGGAACCTTTAGGACTAATGTCACCAGCCAAATATCCCCCTTTGCAGTCTATGAAATAGAAAGAATGTATTTAGCTGTCTTTGTATTGTAGATGTATTACCATAGTAAAGTGCTCACCCTCAACAGGGCCCATTGATCTGTCCCAGGTTCTTCTCCCAAGTTGGTGTAGTAACAGCCAGGCAAACAGCCACTCTTTCTGGCTCAGATGAGCATGTAAGCAGTAAAGAAGTTACAGATTGGCGCAGGCATGGCAGGGAAGGGGTTAAAGTGTCCATTCCAGTATGCAGGCTTTTTGGGCTTCAGTCTGCCAACCTGTGATATAAATTGGGTGAAGGCTGAGATTTGGAGGGCTCTGAAGTACCTTTGTTGCTGCTGTTCCTGCCGAAAAAAAAAGAAAGGCCATTGTGGGGAACTGGATAAAGTACAGAGAAGGCCCCCAAATTGATACGAGGCATGGAGGAGATCAGCTATGAGGAAAGATTAGAGGAAGTTAATTTATTGTCTCTTGAGAGGAGGAGATTAAAGGGGGGATATGATCTCCATGTATAATACATAAGGGGGGATATGATCTCCATGTATAATACATAAGGGGGATATGATCTCCATGTATAATACATAAGGGGGGGATATGATCTCCATGTATAATACATAAGGGGGATATGATCTCCATGTATAATACATAAGGGGGGATATGATCACCATGTATAATACATAAGGGGGATATGATCTCCATGTATAATACATAAGGGGGGATATGATCTCCATGTATAATACATAAGGAGGGATATGATCTCCATGTATAATACATAAGGGGGGGTATGATCTCCATGTATAATACATAAGGGGGGGATATGATCTCCATGTATAATACATAAGGGGGGGATATGATCTCCATGTATAATACATAAGGGGGGATATGATCACCATGTATAATACATAAGGGGGGATATGATCACCATGTATAATACATAAGGGGGGATATGATCTCCATGTATAATACATAAGGGGGGATATGATCTCCATGTATAATACATAAGGGGGGATATGATCTCCATGTATAATACATAAAGGGAGATATGATCTCCATGTATAATACACAAGGGGGGGATATGATCTCCATGCAAAATACATAAGGGGGGATATGATCACCATGTATAAATACATAAGGGGGGATATGATCACCATGTATAAATACATAAGGGGGGATATGATCTCCATGTATAATACATAAGGGGGGATATGATCTCCATGTATAATACATAAGGGGGGATATGATCTCCATGTATAATACATAAGGGGGGATATGATCTCCATGTATAATACATAAGGGGGGATATGATCTCCATGTATAATACATAAGGGGAGATATGATCTCCATGTATAATACACAAGGGGGATATATGATCTCCATGTATAATACATAAGGGGGGATATGATCACCATGTATAAATACATAAGGGGGGATATGATCTCCATGTATAATACATCAGTGTTTCATATAGTGAACTCGTTGGAGTTATTCACCCTGAGGTCATCACAGAGGACAAGGGGGCACTCTTTACGTCTGGAGGAAAAGAAATTTAATCTCCAAATACGGAAAGGTTTCTTCACAGTGAGAGATGTGAGAATGTGGAATAGATTCCCTCAAGAGTTGGTTCTGGCCAGCTCAGTGGATTGCTTTAAAAAAGGCCTGGATTCTTTCTTGGATACACAGAATATTCTGTAACTGGATACTAACATTTATAGGTAAAGTTGATCCAAGGAATATGCGATTGCCTCTCGGGGGGATCAGGAAGGATTTTTTTTCCCATCAGGAGCAAATTGGATCATGCTTTGCTGGGTTTTTTTGCCTTCCTCTGGATCAACTGTGGGTATAGGATTATAACTTATTTTTTTGGTTGAACTGGATGGACTTTTGTCTTTTTCAGCTAGACTAACTATGTAATTGTGGGTCATCTCTACCACCAAGGTTACCAGGGTACCACTAAATATCGATTTTGCCACTATGCCACTATGGACTTCCACCTGGGCCAATCAGTTAGTTAGGCCAGGACATGTACTGCATTGTACTTTTATATTATATTGCACTGAAGATAATCAGTAATGACTGCTAAACTATTTGTGAGCCTTGTCTGAAGTTATTGCAATGGATGCATACTGGGGCTGGTGTATCCAAAGAACCTGGGTCTGTAAAGCACTACAGGGGTATGAAGTACATCACACTACAGTGTCAATGCAAAAACACAAAGGAAGAACAAGGTCACTACTATGGGTAATTAAGTACACAAGAGTAAAAGGTGTCTTCTGGTAGGGAGGGGGGGGGGTCATTATTTGGGCTCTCCAGTGGTCCGTCTACTATAGCAACCGGGAGCAGATTGGTGTTGCGAAGGCCCTAAGCCTAACTATATGGTACAGAAAAGGAAAAGTTAACACAGGACATGCATGAGATCCACACGACATGTCCAGAGGGATCTCATTCTGTTACTGGGAACAAGGTAACAGAGGTACGCTGGCTGGTGGAGGGAGCGCAGTTCAGTCCACTACTCTGAACACAACATACACAAATCACTGTTTGTGGTTTTATAGGACAACACATGAGAGAGAAATGCGGCTTCATTAATACATGCAGTGTCAGCTCATCCCTAAGTCGGGAGACTGCCCTAATGTTAGACTGTTCACATGACCACAGTTCCTGCCTGGTCCCAGGCATTGGTGAGTGTGTCCTCAGGCAAAGGTACCCCTAGCACATGGGCATGATAGACCTCACCCACAGACAGTCTCGGGTTGTCTCTTTGATGCTTTATTGAAAATTTAATTTGGATAGGGTGTAGGGAGCTGTTGGATACTCCAGCAACACTGGACAACAATAAGAGGAAACTCTTCACTTTGGCAAAGCTTCTTAGTTTAGTCCCTTCAGCAGCAACTAAGTGAATGAGTCAATGCCCCCCAAAACCTGGGGGCAGAGACTTAAAAAAACTCTGGATGACTCAAGATGGCCACCAGGGTCACCTGGATCCAGTGCATCCAACCGAATCTCTGCTCCAGGGGACTGAGGACACCATAGAGAAACCCATTTTCTCCAGACTTCCTCTTCCAGTTGCATTGCCACTACTGTGGAGTGTCACCTGCAGTGAAGACTGTAGATTACACCTGCCTACATGGAGACCAATGAAAAAGTTTAACCTAGTAGGTTATACTGAGGTGGTTAGCCCACCTCAGCATAACCTAATGGGTTATACTTGGCGTCCTTTCGGGCATGCACAGTTTGCGTGCCTGCAGAGCCGCGCAGCAGTGCGATCTGTCACCAGGCGTGTACCTCGCACACGGCCGATGACAGATCTGAGTGCCGGTACCATGTGACCTGCTGTGACAAATCACAGCAGGTCACATGACAGTTGTATACAATGGATGGCTTCATTCATGCCATCCATTGTATACTAGTGTGTCTAGCTGTGAATGGTCAAAGCGATCACATGCACAAGCTGGGCCAATTACAGCCCAGCTGTGTCATGTGATTAGCCGTGGCCAAATCACAGCTAAGCACAAAAAAAAAAAAAAGAAAAACCCTGAATGAATCGATGTCATTCAGGTAAATGCTTGCTTATAGCAAAATAATTCTTTGCTATAAGCAAAATGTGTAAAAAAAAAAAAAAATACTGATCACTTCCCCAAAGTAGTAAAATGTTACTATGGTAACATTGTACTACTTTGGTCATAGTGAAGTATGAAAAACAAAATCTTAAAAAAAGAAAAAAAAAAATGTAATAAAAAATTTAAAATAATAAAAATAAATAATAAATAAAAAAAATATATATATATTTTTTTTTCATACTGTCACCAGTCAGTGTCCCTGATCACCACAATGCCAGGTATATGATGACGCTGTACTGCACTGATGACAGTATGTAAAAAAAAATAGTGAAAATTATTTTTTTAATTTTTTAATTTTCCGAAAAATTATGACAAAAAAAATACAACTTAAAAAAACTCGCCATTCCTCTTATGAAATACGTCGGACTGTCTACTCTGCAAAAAGGGGTCATTTGGGGGATATCTGTACTGTTCTGACATTCTTGGACCTCAAGAAATTAGATTGGCCGTAAGTACTTCAGGATTGATCAATATTCAGATCTATACCATAGTTTGTGAACTCTATAACTTTCCTACAAACTAAATAATACATCCTAATTTGGGTTATTTTCCCCAAAGACATGTAGCAGAATACATCTCGGCCTAAATTTATGAAGAACAATTATTTATTTGCAAAATTTTATAACAGAAACAAAGAAAAACGTGTTTATTTTTGCACCTGTTAGTAATTTCATTAACCCCTCGCCTACAGGGCACTTATACCCCCTTCCTGCCCAGGCCAATTTCCAGCTTTCAGCGCTGTCACACTTTGAATGACAATTGCGCGGTCATGCAACACTGTACCCATATGAAATTTTTATAATTTTTTTGAGACAGATACAGCTTTCTTTTGGTGTTATTTAAACACCTCTGGGATTTCTGTTTTTTCTTAAACAAACCAAAAACCACTGAAAATTTTGGGGAAAAAAAACATTTTTTCTTAGTTTTTGTTATACAATTTTGTAAATAAGTGATTTTTCTCCTTCACTGATGTGCGCTAATGAGGTTGTAGTGATGGGCACTGATAGGCTGCACTGATGGACACTGATAGGTGGCATTGATGGGCACTGATGAGGAGGCACTGGTAGGTTGCACTGATGGGCATTGACAGGCATCACTGATGGGCACTGAAAGGCAGCACTGACACATGACACTGATATATGGCACTGATAGGCAGCACTGACTGGCACTGTTAGGCAGCAGCACTGGCTGGCACTGATAGGCAGCACTGATGCGCACTGATAGGCAGCACTGACTGGCACTGATAGGCAGCACTGATTGGCAGCACTGACTGGCATTGATAGGTGGCACTGACTGGCACTGATGGGTGACATTGAAAGGCAGCTCAGATGGGCACTGATATGTGGCATTGATGTGCACTAGTATGCACTGATATGTGGCATTGATGTGGCACTGATGGGCACTGGCACGTGGCACTGATGAGCACTGACTGCTGGCACTGATGAACACTGACAGGTGGCACTTCTGGGGCCACATTGATCATCAGGGCACGCTGATCATCAGTGCCCTGATGATCAGTGTACATGTCCCCTCCGCGGAAAGCCGATTACCGGCTCTCCTCTCCTCTGTCAACGTGACAGCTCGAGAGGAGAGAGATGCCGATAACCGGCATTTCCCTGTTTACATGTGATGAGCTGTGATTGGACACAGCTGATCACATGACCGAGCCGACATCTTTGGCTCTTTCTGTTATCTATCAGTGCCAGCCAGTGCCGAACGCCGCACTGCGCGCTCCCTGAGCTGTGCATGCGCGGTGAGGATGGAAGGACGTCATATGATGTTCTATCAGAACGAGAGAACCACCTTGCGCCCGTCATTGTACTATATGGCAGACGGAAGGTGGTTAACATCAAAGCAACTGAAACTGATTAAAGACCCCTTCTGCAAATTAATTAACCAGATCAAAATCCCAGTAGTTTCTTGGACTTGATGCTATACTCTGATTATAAGTCTTCCTTTATTTATTTTTTTTGAGCAGTGTATATAGAGCGGAGCTTGGAGATCAACGAGGAATGATAACTTACTAATGTATGGTAAGGTAGGTATAAAAGGATTCAAAAAGCACAGAAGAACCTTCTTAGAACAGAGTAAAAAGTTAAAGTGATTCTAAAGGCTTAAAATTTAAAAAAAAAATAACAAACATGTCTATACTTACCTGCTGTGTGGGGGTTTTGCACAAAGCAACCCTGATCCTCTTCCTCTTGGATCCCCTTGCCAGCGCTCTTGGCTTCCTTCCTCCTGTCGGCTGCCCCCACAGCAAGCAGCTTGCTATCCTCCAGCCCCATCCTCTCTCTTCTCATTGGCACACTGGCTGTGATTGACATTGACGTAAAGGGACGCTTTTTGGACGCCATGGACTTTTCTAAGTTTCCAGGCAGAAAGAACAGTAAAAATGCAGGCAGGACACAGGACAAAGCACTCGGGACAAAATATATGTGAAATGCATTGAAACAGCAATGACAGCAAAAATGAAATTTTTTACAAATTTCAAATTTCCCGCCGGTTCCCGTACGTCCCGACGTCACAGGGACCGGAACACAGAAGCCGGATGCCGGCATCGGCCAGAAGAGATGGTCGGGGATGCTGCAGGGGACACATCGCGGGAGCGAAGGACAAGGTAAGTGCTGCAGGGACCCCCAGAGCAACGCCGCATGGTAAGCCCGAGTGTAGCTCGGGGTTACCGCTCTTGGTACTCAAATTTTACCCCGAGCTACACTCGGGAAAACCGCTAAGGAGGTTAACCTACCAGCATGTCTTTGGAGCGTGGGAGGAAACCAGAGTACCCAGATAAAACCCACGCAGGCACAGGGAGAACATGCAAACTCCAGGCAGGAGGTGCCGTGATTTGAACCAATGACCTAGTACTGCCAGGCAGAAGTGCTAACCATTTAGCCACTGTGCTGTATATTTTCCACTCCTGTGCATGTAATCCAGGACAATCATCTATGACAGATTTTCACAGATCTGTGACAAAATTAACCTCTTGCTGATCACGCAACACATACTGTATATGTGGCAGAAAACAAAAGTGGGCTTTAACCGCATGCCGCCCAGCCACTGTACATATACGGCGGCAGGGCGGAACTCACAGGCAAAACCACGTTTTAAAACGTGTTTTGTAAACAAATAGGGGGCGCACGCGAGGCCCTATTTGTCCTGTGGATCACCGCCGCAGATGTCAGTTGCCGGGTCACAGCCGCTCGTTAGCGGTTATGTCCCGGCGATCAACAGTGACAGAGAGCACAGCTGCAGTAGCTGTGCTGTCTGTCACCTCTCTGTCAGCTCGAAGATGAGCTGATCGAGAAAGAAGAGTTTCTCTTTCTCGATCAGCCTTGTCCCGCCCAGTACACACCCCCCCGCCCCCTAGTAAAACACTCCCCTCACTCAGATAACCCTTCCCTGCAAAATAAAGTTAACCCCTTCCTCCCCATTGCCATTAGTACAGTGTCAGTTTTTTTTTTTTTTTTGCACTGATCACTGTATTAGTGTTTTTGGGGATGTCAGTGATCCCAAGTCAGTACCCCCAATGTCAGAATGTCCGACGCAGTCCCGCAGTCCCGCCATAAGTCGCTGGTCGCTGCCATAAGTCCCTGATCGCCGCCATAATTCGCTGATCGCCGCCATTATTAGTATAAAAAAAAACCTAAAAATCCCAGTATCTTTCCCGCCATTTGTAAACGCTATAACTTTCACGTATTCCAATTAATTTACACATATTGTTTTTTTTTTTAGCAAAGACATGTCGCAGAATGCATTTTGGCAGAAATTTATGACTAAATTTGATTTTTGCATTTTTTTTTTACTGGACATGTTTTATAGCAAAAAGTCCAAAATATTGTTTTTTTTTCCTCAAAATTGTCAGCCTTTTTTTTTATAGCGCAAAAAATAAAACCGCACAGGCGATCAAATACCACTGAAAGAAAGCTCAATTTGTGGGGAAAAAAAGGATGTAAATTTCATTTATGTACCGTATTGCATGACCACGCAATTGTCCGTTAAACTAGCGCAGCACTGTATAGCAGAAAAATGGCGTAAATTGCAGTATCTATACCATAGTTTGTAGACGATATAACTTCCACACAAAGCAATCAATATACACTTATTGGGATTTTTTTTACCAAAAACATGTAGCAGAATACATTTTGGCCTAAATTTATAACCAACTTTGAGTTTACTATATATTTTTTATAGCTGAAAATAAAAAATATTATTTTTCTTCAAAATTTTTGGCCTTTTTTTGTTTATAGCGTGAAAAAATAAAAAAGCGCACAGGTGATCAAATTACACCGAAAGAAAGCTCTATTTGTGTGAAAAAAAGGACGTAGATTTCATTTGGGTGCAGCATTGCATGACCGCGCAATTATCAGTTGAATTAGTGCAGCGCCAAGTAGCAAAAAGAGGCCTGGTCATTAAGGGGGGTAAATCCTCTGGAGGGCAAGTGGTTAATGTCCAGCTGCCCCATATATTGTATACGCCAATGATGGCCTGATGTTGTGTGCTGAGTACATGCTTTCAGCACAATGACTCAGCTGCCAATGACAACTCTAAATCGCAGGTTCTGATTGGGAGCCAGTTTGGCAGCCTCCTGATCATTTGACCAATGTAAGAGCCAACCTCATCGATCACATGATGCAGAAGTGGCAGACTCTAGAGCATTAAAGCCCACTCTTGGCAGATGCCGAGAGTGGCATTAAGAAGGTAACATTGCTAAAAACACATGCATGATTAAGAAGTGGTTGGATAGTTTTGTTCTTTTACAGTGCTACTTTAGCAGCTGAGGGAAAAATGTATGATTCAAGGTGTAATATTATCACAAATATGTCTTAGTGCTTCTGTTTAAAATTGATTTGCAAAGTAGCAGAATTGACAAATATCCCCAATGTCTTGATATATGTCACTCTATCACAAATCCCAAAAGTATAGTAAATACCATTTGTTTAAGAATATGAGTGGGGTCATTCAATTCAATCCTTTATGACCCTTTAGCCAACTGTACATCTAGAACTACTGGTTTTCAGCACAGATACAACCTAACATTATAACACCATTTAATCCAAATAGCAAAAAATAATACAAGGCTTCTTGGTCTTCATCAATGCAGTGAATTGCATAGAAAACAATGGCTTCAAGGGAGTAAGGCTTGGAGACCAATGAAAATCTACAGTATAATCGGACCAGCTAAACCATAATAAAAACTAAAAAGCCCTTTACTTACAAGCAGAAAAAAACTGCCACTTCTATACAAATAAATATAATCAGCAAAAAGAACCTTCAAAGTGATTCAGTAGCGCAATGAAATATATATGTGCATATAAATAAATAAATTAGTGATCATTAAAAATATGTGAAAAAAACTGAAAGTCCATAAGAAGATCTTTTCCACCAAATTAATCTTCCAATTCCCAAAAAATCACCACGTGCAATCAAGATGGCATTCCCTCTTTCGGGCGTGCACTCACCAGATAGCCATGCCTCCCATTCTCATGGTTGGCTAAAATCGCTGATAAAGTGGATCCAAATGGGAAGGAGATCAGTCAAAATGGATATTATCACACTCCTCTCTGCTCATCCTTCAGTGCCTGCTGCAAACAACTTGACCAGACGTGACACTTTTAGTTCAGAGATGGTGGGGCGTGAATTTGATCACATGTGATACTACACATATGGTGTATGCTATACAGTGCCCGTGTGGACTAATATACATTGGTCGAACCAAACGTCCTTTAAAAGTAAGAATAGCAGAACATATTAAGAACATTAGGAAAGGGTACAGTTACCACAGTGTGTCAGAACATTTTTCTCGTTATCATGAGAAAGACCCTTCAAGAATGAGTTTTTGGGGGGTAGATTGGGTCCTGCCATCATGGAGGAGATCAAATATAGTGAGGGACCTTTCAAAGAGAAAAACAAAATGGCTCTATTTACTTAAATCTTTAACACCTGGAGGACTCAACAATGAATTAGATATAAACTGCTTCATTAGCAATGTATGAATTTTTTAAATGTATATAAGATCATTTGTGGTTTATGTATTGCTGGTACACTCATTTGGCTTATATATGGTTTTATATATACTTTTTATTGAAGGTTCTTTGATCCTTTTTTGAGGATTATCCATTCCTTTTCATTTTTTATATCATTTTTCCTTATTTTTATTTTTTTATATTCAATTTATTTTATTTATTGCTACAGAATTTATTTATTTTATGTAGTTAATTGTATTGATTGTTATTGAATGTCATCTGTATATAAGGATGCTTGCATCATTGTTATTGTGATGATATTTTTTGCCATTCATAATTTTATGTATTAACATGTTAAAAAAGTATAAAAGCGAGCGCTGGTAAAATACTAAAATAATGACAATTAAAGATCTTAAAATAGCTGCTAGCACTCAGGATATCGGCAACAGTCCCAAAATCAAATATCAAAGATATAAGCGCAGCGCTGCACTTATATCTTTGTTATGTATTAACATGTTATGCCTAAAGGGTACTGCAGGATATAAGTTACTATTTTATTAATCCTCCTTTCGGATCGGTATATGATGGGTTGTCAAATATTATAATTTTTGCCCTGTTCTCCCTATTTGTATGGAGAGAATGTTTCAGAAGTGGTTGGGTGGAGTCTTCCATTGGGAGGTAATTTGGGAGTGTTGCCATTAGCCTATCATTGGTTCCAATGCCGATTTCAATGAGGGTAT